ATAGATAGATAGATAGATAGATAGATAGATAGATAGATAGATAGATATAATCTATCCATCCATCTTTCCATCTATATGTCATTCATCCATCTACCCATCTGTCTATTCATCCATCTATACATCTATCATCCATCCATCTATCATCCATCTATCCATCCATCCATCTATTCATTCATCCATCCATCTGTCTATTCATTCATCCATCCAACTATGTATCTATCATCCATCCATCCATCCATCTATCTATGTATGTATCTATCATCCATCCATCTATCCATCTATCCATCTATCTATTATCCATCCATCCATCCATCCATCCATCCATCCATCGTAAGTCCTTTCATTTCTACTCTCAGACCTCCCAGCACATTGCTTCAGTCTATCTGCAGAATCTGATGTGCAGCTTTGGAACTGACCCACCTGTGCCCATTCAGGCGGATGTTCCCAACAAACTCATACAGGTGACGGTTTGGGCTTTCACACTCCATCCGTCCAGAGAGACGCATCAGACTTTCTATGTCCTTTAAGTCAGCAGTCACCTGGAGACCCTGTTGTTGTAGTTACAGAAACATTAAATCAATTTGCTTTTGGCCACCGTTGCATGAACCGAAACTATTAAGAAAGATGGAACTAAAAGATTCTCACCTGTCTGATTTTAAGGTTGGTCTCTCCATCCAAATTAGATGTTTCAATGTAGCACATACCTTGTGGCTCACTGTGATGAAGGGAGAGGAAACAAGCACTTGGAGTAGAATTATAACATGGCAGTAATCTGTATTTAATGATATTATAATTTAGAGTATATTAAATCGGAAAAGCTATAACTTGTAATAATTGTTTATAAAGCAAATTATCAGTTTGAGTTTGGGACAGAGGGGGGGCTACAACGGAGGAACAGCAGAAGACTAAAGCACTGCAAACAAAGATGATGCATGTTGGCAAACAAATGCCTCCAATTTTTTTACAGACATTGTTTAACGTGCAGCAAACATCTTCAGGACAGACACAACATCTTTGTTTGTTTCTGCTGTTTTCTCTGAGTTTAACTGGCATTTGACAAAAGCTCACTTATACAGCAAAGAGATTGGAAAGAGAGCAGAAGCATCAGAGCAGGGTGACGGGAGCGACCAAGCACAACAAACAATGCAGACAGACTCTGGGCTCATCCATAGTGTTAGAGCATGCTGGTGGGTAAAAGTTGAGCTGGGCCACTGGTTAGAAACTCTATTAACAGAGTGATTTAAACACACCAAGCCCTTAATGCACTGTGTTAGCCCATGAATTTGAGTTTAAACCCAATAAAATTAATCAAGTGAAAGTGAATTCTAAAAATCTGCAACATCCATAAAGCAACAATCTACTGCTGCAGCACTCATAATGATGAGTTAATGAACCGGGTGGAGGCTCGTGCAGTTAGAAGTCACATCTTGTGGAGAGTAAGCACATCTAGGAATCCAAGATGGTTTTCCACCTTTGCATCTTGGAATATGACACCATGCAAACTGTCAGAACAAATGAATTAAATATTTACATTCAGGGTGCAACGCATGCTTCGGCAGGAATATGGAAAAATAGAGCACACCCAAAACAATAGCACGACACAGAAGGAGCGTGTGCTCCTGTGGTGCAACAGTGCACGTCTAAACTTTCGCAGGCCCCTTCTTTTCTCTACTGTGAAACTAAAGTGTCTGATTTGTGTCAGTCCCAGTTGGTACACAGCCCCAACCTCTCCCACCACTGTTTGTTGTTGTCGTTGTTGGTAATGTTGCTGGTTTCCTGACCTGGACGACAGAATGACGAGGTCAGCTGGGAGGTGATCCCCGTTTGCAGCTCTGACTACTTCCCCCACAGCCACCTGATTTTACCAAGCACACACCAGCAGGGGGCGAGACAGAGGTGTGGCAGCAGTTTGCACAGGACCCAAGAGAGGATGAAGGAGGGGAGGAAGAAAACAAAAAACAACAAGGAGGAATGGAGAATAGACACACAGCAAACATACAAGGGGAGAGAGAGAAGTGGTTCAGTTGAAGAGCCAAATGGTCAGTCCTGTACGATCACAGGCTGTTCATCTGTTCTCCTGTTCACAAACCATTTGGAAAAGAAAAATATGTAATGAAACTGCTGTTGCTGTGCCAGAGCAGGATCTTTTTTTAAAATCTCCACCAGGCACACTTTTAGCATTTCTAAATGGTTTTTGAAGAGGTGAAGGAGAAATAAATGCTTATGACGACACGTTCGGACAAATCTAATCAAAAATCACATTACCACCAACCCATCTGAAGAAATGATGGTTCCCACTACAATACTGGCTGCACAGCATTTAATTATATTCAAATGTTTAAAAGTTGGAGGAATGTTTTCATCTGATTTAGACACGATGAACTTAGCATTATTTAACCATCACTTCTTTAGTGTGGGCTGAAAGTGCAAGAGGAAAGGAGAGGGGGGAGACACTCCCCACAGGCTGGTAGCAGGGTGGTCTCCACTACCTGGATGATAAAATGACAGCATCCGCAGGAACGAAATCACTGCCATTTACTCTAACAATATTGCCCACTTCAATCTGTGAAAATAAACTGGTTACTGCTGGGGGCTGGCTATAAAACAGCACAAAAAATGTAAAATCAGCATTAGGAATAAAAATTTACAGCTGGAGAGAAAAAGAACGGTGAAACATGAAAGCACGGAAACATTTAATTGTAGGGAGAAGACACTGATGGAACAGCTGGCGTCATCTTTCAGTTACTGCTCGACTCTGCACGTTTCCATCATGCATCAGAAATTTAATCAATATCATCAACATTGGGATTAAATAAAGACCAAGAGCGCATGCGTCGATCTCAAGGCCCGTGGGCCAAATCTGGCCCTTGGTAACATCTGTAAGGCACACCAATGTTGCAATTTAAATGAAAAGTGTGTGTATTCTTCTCATTTTGCTTAAACTAATAATTTCATGAAGGTTTCTCATGACAGTTGACTAACTTTAATGTCAGAAAAAAAAGGTTGGATTTTTCTGTAATACAGTAGTCCCTCGTTTTTCAGGTCTCTCTTGTAAATGAGTCCTCGAGGCTCAATGGGATTTACCTGTATAAATAAAGGTTGATTGATTATCGTGGGGGATCCGTACCCTGAAGAAACACGATAAGTGAAACAGCGCGAAGTATGAATAGTAGTACAAGTAGTAGTAATTTATTTTATATATATATATATATATATATATATATATATATATAAATAAAGTGTTTTAAACCCTTCCCACACTCTCGCAATATTCTAAACAATGTTTTCAAACTCTAAACGCTCTAAAAGAGCACAGAATGTCATGATGTCAGCTCTCTGCCTCCTCTGCTATTTGCCACCTGCAAGCGCTCTTGGCCACGCCCACTTCTCCGCTCTGCACGGTGAACATGTGATCCTCTGCAGCAGGAAGTTTATCCTGCAGTATTGGCTGCACAAAGCTGCAGGACGAAGCTTTTTCTGCAGCTCTCATCTGCTCACAGGTGCAGTAGGTGTTAAATAATTTAAAATAATTTATTTTAAATAAAAATTCCATGCCAATCGTGCGGCTCATCCATCAGTCAGCCAATTGTGTGTTATGTCCAATCTTATTTTTGAAAAACCGTGATAGAGCGAGTCCGTGAAGTAGCGAGGGACTACCGTATATGATTTTGATGTGGAGGAGCAACAAAAACATCAAATGGGACCAATTTACTGTAACTCATGTTTATGAACCAGGAACTAGAAAATGATGTCGGGTATTTGACTTGAGTTAATACATCGACTGAATGACTTGGAAAAAGTTTTAAACTTTGGTCCATTCATGCAGTTCAACACTCCTGAAAGGTTAAAAAAAAAAATCCTATAAAATAACCCACCATTTAGCCTGTTTCCTATTCTAATTAAAATTTAAATTGTATGTGTTTAAAACGTAAAACACTATTTTGTTCCTTCAAAAACAAGAAGACCTTTCTGAATAACTAAAAACTACATTTGTCATCCCAAACCTCCTTCAAGCTGCCCTAAAACGAATCTTTTTACAAAGCTTAAAGACTAAAAAAAGAAACAAATTGGAACAGAAGTGCTTCTATAATATGCATGCAAGAGGAAACACTATCAATTATTTAAAGTCGGGCTTTTTACAGAATCCTGTCTGAGCTATGGGACATTCACACACCAACAAAAGACACAGTATTTTCCCAGTGACTACAGGAAATGAACTTATAGTGAATCAGTATAATAAGGCTGATGGTGCAGGAGTGTCTGATGCAACAACCAGCTGTGTCCACCGTCGGATTAATGTCTGAGTGAGAGTTTCTTAATTTTCTCAGGAATAATACATGCGCCGCCCCATCCTGGATCTGTGGCTCTAACAGAAAATGTAAAGTTGAATATTTCTGCAGCTGGACTTGTTTATATCGTGAAGATCTTATGAGCATTATAGGTCCCTTTTGGTCTTTTATGCACACACAGTAACTCCAAAAATCACCTCTCAGTCCATTTCCACTCAGCAAGCCTTTGGTCTTTGGCAGCGCCGTTTGAGTTTTCTTGATAAGGCATGGTGCTCTCTCTCTTCCTCACCACTTTTCTACCAAATTTGATGATATGAACACATTTCCTAACACTAAATCAAAACTAACAAAGTTACAGTGACTACAGCTTGGACCAGGAGTTTTATCACAAGATGGCACATGTAACATACCTGCAAATTTTATAACGTTAACCTACTTATTTTAAATACAGTAGTCCCTTGCTACTTTGTGGTTCGTTTTTCCCGGACTCGCTCTATCGCGGTTTTTCAAAATAAGATTGGACATGATGCAGAATTGGCTGATTGATGGATGAGCCGCACGATCGGCATGGAATTTTTAATTTAAAAACAGTTATTTTAGATTATTTAGCACCTGCTGCACCTCTGTGCAGTCTACGCTGCAGGATAAGCTCCCCCTGCAGCTGATATCATTCTGTGTAGAGCAGAGAAGTGGGCGTGGCCAAGAGCGCTTGCAGGTGGCTGAGAGCAGCCGAGGCAGGGAGCTGAAATCATGACGTTCTGTGCTCTTTTATAGTGTTTAGAGTTTAGATACAGTGTTTAGAATATTGAAATACTAAAATAAACTACTACTTACTACTTGTACTACCATCCCTACTTCGCGGAAGCCCCGCGATAAACGAGGGACTACTGAATATTCAAATAATTCAGATTATTAATTAACCCCAGACTAAAACATGTTTGGAAAAAGCCTAACTATGGTCTGTAGTTAATTCCGTTTTTATTCAGCTCAAATCTACAAGTATATCATGAAATAAATTAAGTTTTACTGTCGGCAACGTGTTTCAGATAACAGGTTAAACAAGTTCAAGTTCAACTGTTTGTCCACAAGCAAAATGTAGTTTCAAAAATAATGAGTGCTACAAATGAGGTCAAAATGTAGCCATTTCCTGCTCTGCCTGGTGTTTTGTGTGCAGACTTTTTGTTTTAACTGAGCTGCTCAGACAACAGAAATGCAATAGCTTTATTATGATGAAGAGACTGGGAACTCGTCTTCCAGAAACCATCCTTGTGGGCACGGTGCATTAATTAGTTTAGCTGTGTACTCTATGAGAGAAGGAAAGGTCAGAATATGTGTCTGGTTTTTCCAGTAACAACAATCAGAATCAGTAATCAGAATCATGTTGTTTCTTTCAGCTCTACACAAATAAAATAAGCAGCAGAGTGACAAACTGTGAGCACATACCTTTTCCCAGTGCACAATCTCCCAGGCACCATTTCTCAGCACTGTGGTGAGTAAAGAAAGTGATGGAGAGGAAGTTACAGCAGCAACAACAGAAAAAAAAGGAAGATAAAACAAGAAGATGAAGAAACAAACCGGTTTGTTGTTAAGAAACGTTACTGGTGTCATTCTAAAACCATACATCAAGACATTTTGTCTTTTTTTTATCAGAACCTCCTTGTTTTCTTGTAACGCATGTAGGTTACACTTTAAAGAAAAAGGGTTTAAATACCTTGGCATTCCTTTTTGTTGACAACACTGTCAGCTTTGTGGCGTTTCTGTAACAAAGAACAACGACTTCATATTATGCAACGATGCAATGAATGATGCAAACAAAAAAGATCAATTGTGAAAACAGCAACTTGAAGAGACTTCTCTACGCGTAGCCTTGAGAAGAACCAGCCACTTTTCTCTTAGTGACAAATTATTGTGTGAATGTTAATGAAGCATTCACTCCATTGTGATCCATTTTTCTGCTGTACGTATTTCGGCGCGATTCTCGTCCCGCAGTTTTCAACGTACTTCATCAAACCATTAATCAAAACGTTCAGCTGTTTTTGGTTTTGGTGTAACTTTAGCTTTTTGAAATATTTAGCCTTTTCTGACATTTTGTTTCTCATGGAAAATGAATTGAGCTCATTTTACATCCTTCAGGTCTGTTTACAACTTTCACTGCTCCTTTCACATTTTGTTCTAGTTCAGCTTCTTTCAACCTCCTTGTGCAAATTTTTACTTTTTCAGCTACTTTCAGCTAAGTTCAGCTGCTTTTTAAGCGGTTTTGTGCTCCTTTCAGATTCTTTCTGCTAACTACAACATTTTTGAGCTTCTTCTAACTGCTGCTAATTTCAGCTTGTTTTACTCCTTTCATCTTATTTCTACAAGTTTCAGCTGTTTCTGCTAATTCAGTTACTATTTAGCTGTTAAGCTAATTTTAGCATTTTTCAGCTAATTCCACATTTTTTTTGCACTCATTTAAACTTTTTTCAGCCTAATTTAGCAAAAATGTGCTCTCCTTCTGGTAATTTAAGTTTCTTTGTGATGCTTTTAGCTGCTTTTCAGCTGTTTTTTTTTTGTTGTTGTTGTTGTTGGTTGCTGCTAATTTCAGCATTTTTCAGATAATATCCACTTCTTTGTGCTCATTTCTGCTTCGTTCAGTCTAATTTAGCAAACGTGTTCTTTCTGCTTTCATCTGCCAATTTAAGCTTGTTCTACATTTTCAGATACCTTGTTAGCAAGTTTAGCTAATTTCAGCTGTTTTCAGATAAATTCTAATTTTTCATGGTAATTTTTGCTACTTTAAACCTAATTAACATTTTTAGTTTAGCTTCAGCTTGTTATGCTACTTTCAGCTTTTTTCTGCTAGTTTCAGCTTTTTCTGCTATTTCAGCAACTATTTAGCCATTTAAGGTTCGTTTTGCCATTTCATCTACTTTTCAGCTATTTTTGTGCCAATTTCAGTTTTGTCTTTTAGTAAATTTCTTAATTTTTGTGTTTAGTGCTGCTAATTTATAGCTAATTCAGCCCTACAAGAACCCTGCAGATGTTGGATGCTGTCTATCATGGTGCACTAAGATTCATAACTGGCTGTGATTATCGTACCCACCACTGCACCCTGTATTCACTGGTTAACTGGACATCATTAACTTCACGCAGACTCTCTCACTGGTACATTTTCATCTTTAAATCACTTCTTGGTCTGCTGCCTTCATACATCTCCTCCTACATGTCTCTGTGTGAGTGCAGCTACGGAGTGCGCTCTCAGGACATTATTACCTGCAGTGTTCCCTCAATGAGGACTGAACTTGGCAAAAGGGCCTTCTCCTACTCCGCTCCTGTTTCCTGGAATATCTTACAAAAAGATTTGAAGCTCTTGACCTTGTCCTCTCTAAGTGGCTTTAAGAATCTGTTGGACTCCTGGCAGGGACCAATGCAGACATGTTCCTGTTTTTAGTTTTCTTCATTCGCCTTAGAATCTAGCTGTTTTTTTTTTCTTACCTTTTTCTTTTAGCCATCCTATTTGTAAAAAAAAAAAAACCCTGCAGTATGACTTTTTATAACTGTTTATTGTTGTTGCTGTTGTCCATTGTTGTCATCATTTTTTGTTGAAATCAGGTCTCTCTTGTAAATGAGTCCTCGAGGCTCAATGGGATTTACCTGTCTAAATAAAGGTTGAATGCAAAAATGTGTTCTTTCTGCTTTATTCTACCAATTAAGGCTTGCTCTTTCATTTCAGCTACAATTCAGTATGTTTTTAGCTAATTTCCGCTGTTTTTCAGCAAGTTCTTCAGTAATAAGCATTCACACTGCATTTTCGCAAGAAATGCAATTTCTCTGATTACAATACTTTTTGCAGAAACAATACGTCTTAAATGATGCTGCTGATTTGACTTTTACATGTAATGATGATTTTTTTTAACCTGACTTTGCACTTGCAAGCCAAAGAACGCATAGACCTAGACTGTGCAGTGATTTTCACACCGGGACTTCCAAAATCTTTCTAAATGGATGGACTCGCATCATTCAGCTGTTCATCCACAGAAACGTTCTACAATACAACCACTGCATCTTTAGAGGTGTGGGCTCAACAGGAGCTCTAAATCTCTCCAAGTCTGATGCTTAACTTTGACCTGTTCTCCCTGCATGCTCACCTGACTGATGGAAAAAAATCAAGAAGAATAAAAGTGTTGAAATAAAAACTGCAACATGGATCCTGAGAGAACCATCTACATCCCCAACAGCTTTAATACAAAAGAAGTTACTTGCATGGATGCTGCGTGGATTAATTGCTAAATTAATCTATTAAGAAGCTTTTCAAATATCTGCCGGCTCCAACGTGTCATGGAAGGGTTTACCTCTACTTTATTTAATTATCCACAGAGCACTTTTGAGTTTCCACAGCAAATATACAAAAGGATTTGGACAATGGACTCTTATTTTTGGGTGCAACAAACGGTACAGAGAGTCCTCCTCCTCAAAAAAAAAAAAAAAAAACTCAACAGATACCAATCATAACCAGTTCAAAGGAGAACCGCTACTTCCCTTCATGTCCTGCCTGTTTGTCAGTCATGCAATCAACTGTGACTCGTGCAGCTAATTCCAAGGGACAGCTTGTCAACCAGCATCACGCTGAGTAATAACATGTTGCTGCATCCATCTCATTAAAATGATTACTGTGTTTTTAAACTGAGCTCCTGAGAGCAACGTGTGCTCTTTTTGATTAGGGAGGAGAGGACACATCCACTTCTTCTGTTAACAACCTGTTTACAAGAGGAGGATATCTGTATCAATTTAGGCTAATTTAATTTCAAACTAATGTGGTTTTCTAAAACTGCCACTCAAGCCTTACAGTATTAAAAACATCTGTTTGGTTAAACAGCTGCTATCAACTTTCAGATCAAAGCTTACAGTGGTTGATTTTTGTGATCAACAACCAGCATTAGCAGCATTTAAAATGGTAAAAACATATATAGCTTAGGGCCAAAGCTGAAATCAACCAGGGCTGCTGCAGCGAGAACTCACCAGTGAGCTGTAATGTCTCTTTAATATGTCCTTTTTCTCATTTGATTTGATGACCCTGCACCATGCTGTAGTGTGTAATAAATATGGTCTGTGCCAAATGGATTCAATAGTTTTGGCTGCACTATCCCTTTAAAAAAATCTTGCACTATCATAGCCATTCATAATTCAGCATTATTCATCCACACTATAATGCAGACCCTGTACTATAAAAAGAATTGATGTAAGGAATTCTATAACTTTTGCTGCATCTCACGTGTTTATCCCTGACAGGAAAAAGGATATGCTCCATATATAGATGTGTGTAATCACAATGCAACAGAAGGCGAGGGAAACAAAGGGTACTGCAGCACCAAAGCCTCCACAGATTCGGAAAAATAGAAAGCAGCAAAAGATTAAATAAGCCTTCCTGGCTTTGTGTCATTTGCATCTCAGGTCAACTGTAAGGGTAGAAACTGATACTGTGTAATAATCACACCACGGAGTACAGTTAAAAAAAAAAAAACACTCCAGCTCAATTTCACACCATTCTATCCCCATTTCTGTCCCATCTTTAGATGAAAGACAGCTGAGCAGCTCTGAGCAAACAGCCCGAGTCTGCTGCAGCAGAGACAGCCAGCAACAGAGGAGGCGTGTGCTGTACGGTGTTTATGATTCATGGAGTTAGGGGGTCGATGTTGCCCTGTCAGGTCAACTTGTGAGGGACAACACAGTGCGGACAACAGACGTGTGCGCAGGTGACCTTCAGCAATAAAGATGGGAGTCATCACCACTCTGTTCCCATGTTTTCCACAACAGGCCAGGAGAAAAAGTGCTGCGCTGGCCCCTTCAGCATGCGATAGACACTACAGGTTGGTATAGAGTAACTGCCCACTGGGACCTGCACAGGGGATCGCATTGCAGTGTCACTGCAATACAGAGGAATACAGCATTCCCTCACTTTGCTAAGACAGACTTTGGTGGATTAAAAGCTAAAAACAAAGACTAAAATCTGTACAGTAGTCCCTTGTTTATCGCGGGGGATCTGTACCCTGAAGCCCCGCGATAAGAGAAAAACTGCAAAGTAGGAATAGTAGTACAAGTAATAAGTAGTAGCTTATTTTAGTATATATATATATATATATATATATATATAAAGGCTTTTTAAACACTTCCCGCACTCTTGCAATATTCTAAACAATGATTCTAAACTCTAAAGCTCTAAAAGAGCACAGAACGTCATGATTTCAGCTCCCTGCCTCTGCTGCTCTCAGCCACCTGCAAGCGTTCTTGGCCACGCCCCCTTCTCTGCTCAGCATGGAGAACAGCTGATCAGCTGCACCAGGAACTTTATCCTGCAGTGTGGGCAGCGCAAATGTGCAACAGGCGATAAATAATATATATTTTTTTTATTTTAAATAAAAATTCCATGTCGATCGTGCGGCTCATCCATCAGTCGGCCAATTTGGGTGTCATGTCTGATCTTAATTTGGAAAATTGTGATAGAGCAAGTCCGCGATAAACAAACTGCGAAGTAGCAAGGGACTACTGCATAGATTAATACCCACTTTAATAAACTCCTAAACATTCATCCATCTTCAGCTGCTAAGAACAGGGTTACAGGGCAGCAAATCTCAAAAGACAGATTTTGAGAAGAACTAAAATCAACCTCTGACATCAAATAGCCTACATGGCCTTTTCTCAAGCATCTGTTCAGCTGCTCAGACTTGCTCTGGGCAGACCGTCGTTTTGTTTTGTTGGTACTAACAGCTTTTGTGCATGAGCAAGCTGTATCTAGGTTAATTGACTAAATGAGTATTCAGGTCCAGTAGACACAGCTGGGACCCCTAAAATGAATGGGTATGTTTGCATGACTGTGTCTGATGATGTGACTTTACGTTGAGGGGAATCCTGCTGTGGTCCAATAACCATCACCGCCTTGTTTTTTATGTTTCGCAGAGAAAAGTCCAGCACTCGAGAGAGTGCACAGAAGCCCTACATGGCCTGTGAATGTGGACAGTCCTTAAAGCACAGTAGGACACTCGAATTACTGAGGACTGTTGACCTATTTTACTTAGAAATCCCTTTTAGAAAATGTTATATCACAGCTACTGTTGATAGGTGATAAAGTCTTTTCATGTCATTGGAAAACTAGTGGTCTGAAGAACCACAAAAGGCCAAATTTTGTTCTCACAATTTGATGCTACACATTTAACCAGGATGCTGCTGATGTTTATGTAGTTCCTCTAACATTTCCTTTACTTAGATTATATCATTTAGAAAACATAAAATGTCCATGCAAAGCATAATGCATCAAAAAACCAAGACGATAAAAATTTAATACGGAATTTTTTAAAGTTTAAAAATAAAAATTGAAATTATTATCAGACAGTTGTCTTACCAGATCTTCAATGATCTCTTTGACAGCTGCCACCACCAGGATGAAGAGCAGCGGCACGAGGGTGGTCCAGCGACCAGTAGGAGACACATCTGGGATTTGCTAAAGGAGACCCAAAGTGAAGAAGTGAAGTCAAATTTTGAGCATTTCTCTCTCTATTTTGTTTTTCTTCAAATTTAGTCTGAGCATGCTTAGAAAACAAAAACCCTGCTGGTGGCACTCAGTAAAAGTCTGACGCAATCCTGCAGAACAACTTCCGTACTTTCCGCCGTATACGTCACATCAGTCCAAATATGTCTCATAAAGTGGGAAAAAAACATAAATACGTCAGTTCGCCATATAAGTCGCATCTATTATGCGTCACCGGTGACACGTCCCGTTTGTTACGAGTCACCGCTGAACACCCGGAAACGTGGGCTGGTGTTGTGCCAAAAATTGAATGGCTGCTAAATGGCGGATGCGGGAGAGTGCACGGGAGAACTTTAACAAGAATTTAACAAGATTAACACTTAAAAGAAATTATTTTTCTACTCGAAATTATAACAAAGGTGTGTCTCAGTTTAACTTTTCCTTAATAAATGCACTTTGATGGTCAAATCATCTGCATTTCAAAAGCCGATTCGCAGCTGTGGGAGCGCGCAGAGGGAGGACTCGCTGTGGCTTTCTTAAAAATGTAACAAGACAACCACCTAAAAACAATAATTTGTTTGCTCAACATTATAGTAAAGGTGTGTCTCAGTTGAACTTTTCCTTAATAAATGCACTTTAACGGCCAAATCAGCTGCATTTCACCGATTTGACGTTTGCTCCAGGAGTTCTGGAGCGAGACGAAGGTGGCCTGATAGGGCAAGCCAAGTATCTCATTAATAGCCAGTTGTATCTATTAATGAGACACTTGGCTTGCCATACTAATCGACTGCCCTCTAGTGGTTGAAAATGGTAGTGTTCAATATTTTCCATGTCAGAATGAATGAAATAGCCAGATCTCAGCCAAAAATTTGGGTTATAAATATGGGAAAAAAAACAAATAAGTCACAGGCCATGCTAATTTATGCAAAAAGGTGTGAATTATACTGCAAAAAGTATGGTAATATATTATATAAAATATTTTAATGGAAAAAAAACAATGGACAAGACTCCAAAAGAAGTTTTCTTCATAGTAAAGGTGATGTAATTGAAGTTTTTTTCATGATTTAGTTGAAAAAAAACAAGTGTTTGTTTTGAAAATGAACCTATTTCCATTGGGGGAAAACAAAAATAACTTCTGTTTTGTCTGCATCTGTATGGACAGATTAAAAAAAAAAAGTTTCCTTCCTTTATGGGGTATCCTGTCAGGATCTCTTTGTGTTGTTTTAGTCTTCTTGTGGCTTTTGATTTTAGTTTCTCTGAGTCCGTTTTACCTGTGTTTCAGCTTCCCCAGTGTTTTTCCCTCACTTAGTTTCTGCTCCTGCCCCTCCCACTCTCATCTGTTCCTCATCGTCTCATTTCAGGTGTTGTCAAATTTCCCCCATTAGTTTCCTTTTAAAGTACGAGGGGTTCTTCTCTTTTGTTGTCCACGCATTATACTTTCATGTTGTCATGGTTTGTTTTCCTTCGGGCCTCCAGAGTTTTTTCATACTGAGCATTTCCTTAAGTTTTCAGTTGTGAGTTTTTTTGCTGCCTCGTCAGTCTTTTTGTTTCGTCTTTTGTAAATTAATTGATTTATTTTACCTTCAAGTGCTTGAGTTTTTGGTTTTGCACGTGAACATGTGAACCCAAACATGTTCAGCAAACATGACGTATCCAAGACTAACAAAATTGGTAAAACTATCATTCCAGCAATGCTTTATGCAAGTGACACTTGTGCAACAAGTCACCTTACATCAATGTAAGACACACTAATGTTGAAATATATTAATTACCTTTCTTTTGGATTATTGAACTGTAAAAAAAAAAAAAGAAACTGACAAATTTACTGATAATTTGTTATAACGTAAAAAATGGATGTCATCAACAAAGCAAGCAAACTAAATCTACTATTACATAAAAAAATTAAATAAAAAAATCTCTAAACCATAATGTGGACGTGATAATTACAGCTCATCTTATGTCTTAGTAATTAAATAGCAGCATAATTAAAGCCAAGCCAGAACCACAGGAGACCATCAATATTTCACTGCTGGAAGGAAACTTGAACAAAATTGATTGTGTCCTTCTCATCTACATAGATGTTTTGCTCAAGGTCACAACATTGACAGAGCAGGGAATGAAGATTCACGCTGGCTGCTTTTTTTAGAGGACACTGGATGGAGTTCTTCCCCATCCACAGTGATCCCATTAACGTGAGCCTGTCAGCTCAAACAGGAAGTCCAAAAAACTGAATCACCTTAGTTCCTGTTCTCTGGGAACTCCTGAGATTTCAGCATTGAATCATGTAGTAATAACAAGTGGTTAAAAGGAAAATGTAGTTACTTTTACAGGAAAACTACTGGAAAGCCTTTGTTGTGCTAAATCAAAACAGTGCCAGTAAAGTTCATTTCTGTGCAACATTATTAGACTGTAGTCAAAACATAAGCAGAGTTGCATACTATGACATGCATTTTTTCTTATCAGGCTATGTAAAAGCAGTGTGTGTGTCTGTGTGTGTGCGCATATGAAATTACAGACATAACCTTCAAGAAAATTGTGTCTAGGTCATCGCAAACTGAGAAAAATAGTCCCATCTATTCTATAAAAATGTGAATGATGATTCATTCAACCTTTATTTATGCAGGTTAGTCTCTTTGAGCCTCGAGGACTCATTTACAAGAGAGACCTGTTATTAACAAAGAATGATGACAACAAGAGACGACCATAAAAGAAAGCTTATACATCGAAAAAATATAAATGGAAGAAAATTACGATAAAAAAATGAAAAAAACATTGTAAAGCGATGATGAACTAAATATGAGACGAGCCTTGATTCAGTACTTTTATGTCACAGAAGCAGCAAAGCTAACTCTTCTTACCTGCAGGAGTGCAATGAAAAGGAAGAAGGCATTGGCTGCCCTTCTGAACTGCGAGTAGAGGAATCGAGGGAGGAAGGTGAGGACGTTATATTTGGCTGTGCTGAAGGTCCGAATCAAGCAGGAAACGACGAGGCAAAGGGTGGAGCAGGAGACAAACCAAAGGAGAACAAAACAGGTTCATTATAAAATCTGGTGACGTGACAGACGGAACTGTAATTTATCATATTTCAATGAACGTGAACATTTTCATTTGACCCATTTTCAGTTATACAGTACAAACTCAAGAGCAACCTCCTTTCTTTGATACACTTACAGAGAAATGGGTGAGGACTGATAAATTATAAAGAATAATTAGAGAGAAGACTGGAGCTGGCAGAGGGGGCATAAAGACTTGGAGACAGATTTGAACTATGTTGCTGTGCTCCTGTGGGATTGGTCATGATGCTGGGACACCGAGACCAGAGGAGCGTTCAGCCGTCCACCAGCCAGGCCTCCAGCAGTCTGATTTACAGCTGCATTAACGGGGCCGGTCAGAGCAGCCACTTTAGGAGAGGATTTATAACAAGCTGCATGCCAAGCCAATGGCAACGTTGAGCATATACTCACAAATATAAATAAAAAAATACAAAAATCATTCAGACAAATACGAACAGAATATCAGTAAAGCTGCCTAATTGTCTAAAAGCAGACAAGGATCTGCAGTTCAACAGAAATTTATAACGCTGCTACACATCTGTTTGAGCATTTCTTTGTAGAACGACAACCACGACGTAAAAGTGTAGAAAAGAAATGGAAAGCATAGACTTCCCTTCCATGACCTGAAAAACAACTAATGAAATGATGCTTGGCTTCGTACTTTGTGGGTAAATGTTGCCGTAATAAAAGCAAACACAGTTATTTCAATATAATACTGAAAGAAGTTCAGACAAAAGGTCAAGGAACTAAAAAATATTAATGCAATAAGTGGCTAATGTGACAAGTATTTAAGAGTCAACCCTTTACTTCCTCTCATATATCTATTAAGGTTGCAAAATATTAGAGAAACTTGCAATAAGCAATTTTATTTTTTAATAATATTTCCTTTGTTACTCCGCAATGGGGAAATTCATTCTCTGCCTTTTTCCCCATCACACATGTGGAACAGAGGGCTGACACTTCAGGTAATTGGGGAACAGCTGGAGGGTTAAGGGCAATGTTCAAGAGCCCAGAGTGGGGAACATACAGGTGGAGGCAGATGTGGCTGCTTCACCTTTCCAACCCAAATTGTATGCGATGGTTTGGGGATTCGGAAATTTGGATTGGGGAGCCGGAAAAGGGTAAAGTGCCCTCTCCGGGTCAGGGAGGAGGTCCTGCACCAAGTGGAGGAGTTAAGTATCTTGGGGTCTTGTTCACGAATGAGGGAAAAATGGAACGCGAGATCGATAGGCGGATAGGTGCAGCGTCTGCAGTGAAGCGGGCGCTGTACAGGTCTGTCGTGGGGAAGAGAGAGCCGAGTCAAAAGGCAAAGCTATCAATTTACCGATCGATCTACGTTCCCACCCTCATCTATGGTCACGAGCTTTGGGTTGTGACCGAAAGAATGAGATCTCGGATACAAGCGACCGAAATGAGTTTTCTCCGCAGGGTGTCTGGGCTCTCCCTTAGAGATAGGGTGAGAAGCTCGATCATATGGGAGGGACTCAGAGTAAAGCCGCTGCTTCTCCACATAGAGAGGAGCCAGATGAAGTGGCTCGGGCATCTGTTAGGATGCCTCCTGGACGCCTCCCTGGTGAGGTGTTCCGGACATGTCCCACCGGGAGGAGACGCAGAGGAAGACCCAGGACACGCTGGAGGGACTATGTTTCTCGGTTGGTCTGGGAACGCCTCGGGATTCCCCCGGAGGAGCTGGACCAAGTGGCTGGGGAGAGGGAAGTCTGGGCCTCCCTACTTGGGCTGCTACCCCCGCGACCCGACCCCGGATAAGCGGAAGAAAATGGATGGATGGTTTGGGGATTCGAGCTGGCAACCTTCCGATCACAGGCTCGCAGTTTCTAATCTCAGCGTCACCACTCCCCCCTAATGTTTTCTTAATGATGGCATCAATTCTTCAGTCTTCTTTATAATCTACTGTAAAACAGATGTGGGTACCACTGTTATAATAACTGTTACATTATTACTTAAATTTACCAGCTTGTGGGTAGACACGCACAAAACGCACAGGATTGTTTTAACTGAAATGAAATCAGGACATGCGCATGCTGCCTGTAGACATATTACCACAACAGAAAACTTAGCAGATGCTGAAAATGGGCTGCAGTGGTTCAGTGGTTAAGGTCTGCAGTGAGCATGAGGCTGCTGGTTCAAGCCTCAGAAGGGGAATCCAGTGTAAAACAATTGCCAACTCTTTTGTGCGAGTTCACTCGCTGTGATAACCCCCTATAGAAGAGAGCAGCTGAAAGAAACTTACTTAGCAGGTGATGAAAATCCGTAACAGCAAGAACTACTAGATGCAGACTGGTAACAATTTAAATGACTAGACCCATAAACTTTGAATATAATCAACATCTTAAATGCAACATGTTCCTGTATGTTTGTCTGCAGTGTTACAAATAATAGTCCTACTCATATAGTGGCTGTCATGCCATTTGGTATTAACCTGTTTGGGTTATTATTAAGAGAAGCTCAAAAATCTTGCCAATAAATTGAGGAATGTAAAATGAGAAGTCGATTTGATTAGGTGAGTAAGGCCAAGACAATTTTAGCAATTCCTGTGTGAGTCTGTATCACCAGGTCTATTCATATCGCAGTCGACCCGTGTTTTCCACACCAGCGGTATTTAATGGATCCCTAACAGTGACATGGTTTGCAAGGCCACTCCTGTTTGCCACAAGATGAAATGTCAACATCTCAGCGAATGATCACATTTACACTAGAACCAGATCTGCCAGCAAGCAGGGCCGCTGAATAAACAGTCCGCAAGAGCAGGACGCTGCCTGTCACTTTACAGCTGCTGCAGTGCAAAAATAAGACCAAGTGGGAGCAAAAAATATGTTTTCTGTCTGCCTGTGAGATTAGATTTATTGTTAATCACAGACTGTGCCCCTGTAGGAAGTCTTCACTGGTCACTTTGAGACAGCAACCAATCCTGTTGAGCAAATTGGATCTTTGGAAAAACCTGAACCTCGAAGGTCTGAAGCAAATCTTTGGCCACAGTTTAGAATTCAAAGTACAACTCAACTGTTCGTCAGCCAGATCATCAGACATCTCACAAATTGCTTTAATTTATTCTCAGTGACATAAGCTATGTTGATTTAAAATCTTACGAAATCTGGTGTTACAAAAAATATATGGTATCATAGCCGATATATGAACTGTGGTTCGGCTTTGGCAGAGGTGGACAGTAAACTGGTTTATTACACACCGCCCTTATGCTAAAAATATTAGCTCACATTAGCACTTATCTACAGTACTTTACAATGTGTCTAAATATCCACCCAGCTAACTCCTAGCTCTGACTCTATGTACAAAATACATATAAACAGCTCTGTGCAAAGTAAAAAAAACACCCAATTATCTCAACACTGCATTCTCGAGTCCATCACAGGGACACATAGAGACAAACAACCTTTCACTTTCACTCACACCTAGGGATAATTTAGAGTTACCAATCAGTCTAACATGTATGTTTTTGGTCTGTGGGAGGAAACCGGAGTACCTGGAGAAAACCCACGCATGCACGGAGAAAACATGCAAACTCCACCCAGGAAGGCCCCCAGACCGGGATTTGAACTGGCAACCTTCTCGCTGAGAGGCAGCAGCTCTACCAGTTGCGCCACCATGCTGCCTGTTTTTAATCAGTTTAATCAAATGTTTACAGATGTTTAACAACTGGTTAAAATACACCAAAATACAGGAAATGGCACCTCTTTTATTCCAAATTTTCTGGGGGAGGACCAACACACGTCTACCTAAAGCAGCGACAAAAATGTGTGAAACATCTGGTAAAAAAGGAGTTTTATTTGTGTTGGTGGTCCTTTGGATTTTAGAAAATATAGTTGACAAAAATCAGTTGTGTGATAAAGCTGAGTTATGTGTTGAAAATGTTTTCAATTGATCACTATATCCTTATTTGTGCTTTTCACCAATGCTTTCTTAGATGTTGTCACATTTTTCACCTGTTATGATTATCCCGTTTCTCATTTAACAAATTAATTGAATCCCTATTAGAGAAAACACGCTGCAGACTTAATTTTACTCGTCTCTGTAGTTTTTGTCTTTGCAGAATTTCCTTAACTCTTCACTGTGTTGGGGAAAACAGAAGCCCATTTCTATTCATTTTCTTTACACACTTTATTCTTTCTGGGTCGTAGGGGAGATGATGCCGATCTTCAGGAGTCACTGTGTGAGGGCGGGGTGCGCCCTGGACATTTTTCAAGTCCGTCAAAGGGCCACATTAGCCGTTTACCATGAGCTCAACTTGACCCTTCTCAAGTTGACCCTGCAAGAGTTCAGAGGCTTAACATTGAATGGTTGTACCCGTTTTCAGCTCGGTTTCATTGACCTACCCTGACCTACCCGAGGCTCCAGTCGAGCCATGGTGCGCAGATGATGATTACACGTAAGTCGACAGTGACTGCTGGATATGGGCACCAGTGACCCCGCGACCCGAAATGGAAGAAGCAGGTAAAGATAATGGATGGCTGGATGGATGCATGGCTGCAGGGCATCGATTGGCCAGGGATCCATGTCACTGATGAATTACGGCAGTGACTGCTTCAAAACCACCATTTTCGTTACCAACAAAGTCCGTGCTCAAAGTCAATGCACCATTTTCATTCTGCATTTTCTACCGCCACACATACATGCTTTAATTCCATTTTTTGTAAAGTGAGCCTTGTAAGCCTTCTCTGGCTCACGTTTAACTTATGCATGACTAACACCACACAAAGCATGACCTGGATGCGTTCAGTTGATGGGTGTGACCAATAAATGACATCAGTGAAGGGTCAAACAGCCTTGTTATGACAGTCACATCAAGATGGCACTCAGTTGTATGAAAAATCAAATAAACGGTGTAGAATCTAATTGGGGTGAGGCAGGTCACGCTACATTCATCAAAAAACTGCAATACAGTACATTAATGCACTATAATACACGCAGAATGCTAAAATTAACAGCTAAACAATGGCTACTTAAGAAAATACCTGAACTGACGTTACCTTCGTAGTCTTGAACACTTAAAGGTGTGGTGTCATAAAACTGGACGAACATGTCCTTACATTACTGACGAAAAGCACAAATTGATATGTGTGCTTAGTTTATTATTTATTTATTCAGGTAAATTAGTCAACAGGTAAAAAATGAAAAGGATCATTGTTTTTATTCAGCGTTTGTAATAAACCTTCAGCCCTAATGTTTTTCATGTTGGTGCTTTTGTCATCTTTCAAACTACTTTTAGCAAAAACACTGTTTCGAATCACAGAATACACTTTTTAACGATTTATAACATTTATATTTTTATTAAGATAGCATATATTTTTATATGATAGGACAAATGTGTAACATGTATTCCTTACTGCTTCACGAACCCATTAAACGTGAAAATCTGCATTTATTTGTTTAAAAAATATGTATAATTGTAATTGTCTGAGCTGCTTATTTTGTCATGTATGAACAGCACAGTCTTACACACACTTCATAGTTTTTTATAAATACTTTTGCAGTTCAGTTTACAGCTACATCTGTGCTCACTGATCCTGTACACATCTCCAGTTGCTCATGCAGCAGGAATGATAACAGTAATATTTCTTGATGGCATGCCTGAACAATCGTGACCTTTGATGCAAAGAGGCTGAGCTCCCCAAAGAGGTGCAACGGGATAAAAAGGTCAATTTGAAACGTTAAACTACTTGCTGTTAAAAGCAAATCTTGATATCATCAGTAAATGTTTTATTGAAATTCATAAAGCTAAGGAGATTGATGTAGCTGTACCTGTGAAACAGATCTCTCTTTTTGCTGCATAAAGAACAAAAGTATTTATCAAATTATATGTTTTCAATGTTTTTACGATCATGAAATCAATACCAGACTGATATTACAGGAAGTCTAAACAGTCAAATATTGCCATAGTTTAATTGTTTTGCTAACAGACTTCAAGGTTAACGTCTGGTATGTTGAAACATGCAACTCCGCTGAAATTTCTCATTAGCTCCTGGATAGTTCATCAACTTCTCATCAAATGAGTTTCACCATTGCAATCTTCTGCTGTAAATATCTCAAAACACATATTAATCTTTTCCCTGTTAGGGACTGACTGCTGTGCCTTCATTTTAGTGAAGAACTCTGTCTTCTATTTTCTTCATCACCAGTGTAACAGCATTGTGAGTGGGTGTCCCTTCATTTCACACCACACAAAACAAAAGACTAGAGAAACCACAAACCAGACATAAACTCAATGCTTCAATATATGTAGCACTGTGTGTACCTCATAAATTCAGAACAGTACAAGTTTGATATTTCTCATCATGGTCTGAGCATTTCTAGCGCTTTACCTGACTCGATTGTTGCAAAACTTTGTGAACTGAGGCTGGTTGAGGTATATCTGTCGAGCATCTTCTTGGTCGGCCAGTGATGTCTTCTCTGACGTGTCTTCTGTCTTTTCATATCCTGCAGGATATAAAAAGGACAAAGAAAAGAAAGATGAAAAACTTATTTGAGGTTTTTTAGTCCTACAAAGGAGCCTTTGGAGTCTGAACAAGACTGACTGTACTTTTTTTCAACATCTACTGCCCATTTGAAGAAAAAAAAGGAAAAATAAATCAGCTTGTAGCATCCTACTGCAGTTTATTTTGAAAGGATTATAAAGTAGAGTGAGCTGCTTTACTGTCAGAATATGTGTATTCTGCTTCAAACTGATTAATTAGACCAGAAAATTAAATAATAAAGATGTTCTAGCAGAATTAGCAGCAGCACACATCTGTACCCAAGCCTTAATTTTATCAGAGGATTTTTCAGCTACAGGATTTGGTGGTCAAATACTAAAATGAAAAATAAGACAAATAAAAACAAATTCAAGGAGTGTTTTAAGTTTAAAATGTTTAGAGACTCTGGTTGTATAATATTACATGTATTTTACTATTTTAATTAAAGTAGCTAATCATTTTGACACCATAACAAATAAAGATGGCCTTGTAAGCTTTACTTTGATTAATTATACAGGAAAGTGTTTAGAGTAGGGATGCACGATATCTTTGGCATGGTATCGGCCGATATTAGCGATAAAGTTAAATATCGGACATCGGTCATTCCATCAAAATAACTCGCAAATATAAAATGCACTGACGAATTTGCACTGAGTGTTGTCATTGTGCACACAGTACACAGTAAATGTCATGAATAAATTTGACATTAAACATAATCAAAGTTGAAGTGTTACATCATTTTCAGCCTCCTTCTAAGCATCTGCATTTGGTAAAGGCCAAATTAACAAAGACCATGCACAATAATGTAGTATTTTAATTCCACAGCAGAAAAAGCTATATAGTCTTTGTAAGTAGATCTAGGAAAAAATATTGTTACTGGTATCGGTTATCGTCCAAATAAGTTTGAACATATCGGCATATCGGATATCAGCCAAAATCCAATATCATGCATCTCTAGTTTAGAGTAAATGGACTGTACTTATATAGCGCCTTTCTATCTTATCGAGATACTCAAAGCGCTTTACTCTACAATCTGTGCCTCATTTACCCATTCATACAGCGCTCTACTAGATCTGTACAAAGCTAACTGAAAAAATCATTCTAAAGAGACTAATCAGTGCTTTTATCACATTCATTCACCGATGGGACACACATCGGAGGCAATGAGGGGTTCAGTGTCTTGCCCAGGGGCACTTCGGCATGTGACTGCTGGTGGATTCGAACCCCCAACTCTTGCATTGGAGGACGACTGCTCAAACCACTCAGCCACCCCTGTAGTAGGCCTGTCATGATAAAGTTTGCTGGGCAATTAATTGTCTCAGAAATTATTGCGATAAACGATAATATTGTTTGAAATTTGACAATAATTAGTAATTATTGTCAAATTTAAGAATAAATGTTTGTTAACTTGTTTTGCATGTAGTAACTTTTTTTGACCACCGGATGGCAGTATAAGACTGTTTGAACTGAAGGATGGATAGTGAGGGAGCGAGCAGGGTGTCCATTTACGAAAAATGGGAGGGAGGCCTCTTGACGCGACATGGGCTGTCTCTCTTCAGTTCTCAAAATAGTGGACATCCATTGTGGTTTGAGCTGTTTAGCATAGCATTTTTCACACAAAGATTTTAATTTTTAAAAAAATCTGTAAACAAGTTCTCAGCTTCTTTTATCAGCGAAAAACAACTTTTTAGCAAAGGCATGGGTTTCGACCGTGAATTTTGGAGCTTCGGACGTTTTTTTTTTCCTGTTAGCTTAGCTTGTAAATTAGCTTCTCAGCTTAGCTGCTTTTAACAATCCAAAGACGCAATGTTGGATCGTTAAAACAGATTTTAAAGAGAAAAGATAATGGGAGGGGTCAGTGAAGAGCACTGAAGTGGAGCTTCAGAAAGAGAGACACAAAAAAAACGATAAAGCCGATAAATGAAAACGAGGTAGATAATTTTAATTTACCATGCGATTCATTGATTTATTGTTTATCTCGACAGGCTTAGTTTAGAGCATTCCTAATAAGTTGATGCAGAAACATGCATTGTTAGAGGTAAAATGTCAGAATTATTGTATTATCCTAACATCGTGAAAATTAAAAATATATATATTCCAAAAGCTTAACAAATGACTTAAATCGCTTACTATCATCTCCAGTGAAAAGGTTTCAAGGTGAGAAACGTGTATTCATAGTGCAAAGTGCTACCTAAAAAACAATATTCTAATAATGTTTTGGTTGACTGTGGCTCAGAGAATTAACGTAAAATTTACACTTTAGTTGTTCTTAGCATAATTTGTGGAAATGCAGCTTTAACAAAAAGCCTGAGTTAAAGACAATAAAATAGCCATGGATCCTTCTTTTTTCCAACTCTTGTAGTTTCACAGCTCATAAATCACTTCTTACAGCCTAAAAACTAATCAAATTTAATATATGTGCATTCAATAAAGCTATAACAAGTCAAAGTCTAACAGTCATTTTTTAATGAATATTGTGTATCTGTTGAGCAGCCTAATATCAGAAGTAATAAAGGATTTGAAACAGCCATCAGCTCCCATCACAGAGCTTCAGGCTGAAGCCATTACAGCCAAGTCCACAGGGAAAATGTGATCAGGTTGGCTGTTAACTTTCACTGGAAGAAACAAGTGGCTGAGAGTCAAAGAAGACGAAGTCCCTCCGCTGAGCTCTAATACCGGTAATCTTAGAGAGCGCATTCACTTTGCTGTTTAGGCTTTTATTTTCCTCCACAGACAGTTCTATAAGCTAAAAAACAAAACATCTAATGATCTGTGTTTGCAGTTTAGACACACTCAGCAGCCTTCAACAGGCTTTGCCATGCTACCACTCAAAGACTATTTGTTGCAGGAAATGTTGAAGCTCAGAATTTCCTGTTCAGAGTGACATCCTAACGGAAAGGGTCCTCAAAACGTTTTAAAAAAGATTATCTGCTGCAATCTGGTGTCCAGAAGATTCACAAGTATTAGTATTTACATTATTTTCTGTTGTTTCTGAATCGGATCATTTTCATTAAAAATGTGTCGCCTAAATTTAAAGAATCATCCATTTTTTATGCACAAAATTAAGTATTGACATAACTTGTTCAGACCAGTCTGTACTGGAAAACCCTTTCTGTGTGTGTGTATAAAACATGGCCTATATCTCAGGAAACACAAGACCCGCTTTGGTTCCGCTTTGCTCCTGCTGAGTTCAACAAAGCAGATGAAACTTTGCTGGGTAAATAAACTCCACTGAGACCTGACGAGGGCAGCATGTGGGTTGCAAACATGCTTATGCATGTAGCATATTGCAATTTTTGATTGGCAGGCATATGTTTTTGTAGGTAATGTCAAACATCACAGATGCAATCTATGTTCAGTCTTTATGCTTGTTGAACATACAAGCTGCATGTTGCGTAAAAGTTTTTACACTTAAAACCTACTGAAAACTGGATGGCAAATAGGATTCACACAAGACTGGACAATATTTGCTGAATCCCATTTGTCCCTATAATAGATAAGCTGTATTATTTTGGCAGTCCCCTGAAATCTAAATGTTTCCTAGTCTTACAGAATGAGACTTAAAAAGCAAAATACCATAATTGTTATTGATAAACCAATACAAAGCAAAAAAAACAGGATTGCATTGCACAGCACATTTCTTTTTGTGAAAAATGGTTGATATTAGAGGCCGGCTGACATGGAAATTTTGGCTATCTCCAATACCGATATTGTTGGAGGAGGGCCAACGCCGATAACCGATATATAACAGATATACTGACTGGAAATTTTTTAGCTTTGTCCACCCCCAAGAATCTAAACAAACATCTACTTCTAACCCTGTTTTAACACTTGAAGTCTTGAAACAGTCTTCCTGACATGCGTTCACATTTTCTATCCTCCACTATTAACCATAAAGTTATCAAGTGTGTTACAAAATTAAAAAAATAATTAACACAGAAATGCCCATTCCCAGCATAGTGGTGAAAATTAGAAGTGTATATATTGGTACGTAATGGACCAATCACGATACAGATATGTCCCCAAACGCCTATTATCGACCTAAAATATCGGCCTTACCGATATATCGGTCGGGTTCTAGTTGATGTGTTTGAAACATCAGTGTAAGTGACATAAAATAAGGACAAATACTATAATTGATTTTTTTAAATTTTTGTTAAAAGTATAATGGACTTTTTGTGTTTAAAAATATTTTAATAAACAAATGCTTGAATTAATGTCGAGTTAAAATACTTTGTTTACACCAACTGTTTTATATTATATATATTAAATATATATATGCAGTGACCGAAAGAATGAGATCGCGGATACATGCGGTTGAAATGAGTTTCCTCTGCAGGGTAGCTGGACTCTCCCTTAGAGACAGGGTGGGAAGTTCAGTTATCCGGGAGAGACTCGGAGTCAAACTGCTGCTCCTCCACATTGAGAGGAGCCAGTTGAGGTGGTTCAGGCATCTGGTAAGGATGTCGCCTGGGCGCCTCCCTAGGAAGGTGCTTCAGCCTGTCTGACTGGGAGGAGACCCGGGGGAAGACCCAGGACACGATGAAGAGACTATGTCTCTTGGTTTGCCTGGGAACGCCTTGGGCTCCATCCAGAAGAGCTAGAAAAGGTGGCTGTGGAAAGAGATGTCTGGACCTCCTTGCTCAACCAGCTGACCCCGTGAACCGACTTCAGAACAAGCAGAAGAGGATGGATGGATGGATGGATGGATGGATGGATGGATGGATGGATGGATGGATGGATGGATGGATGGATGGATGGATGGATGGTGGATGGATGATGGAT